TGGGTAATATAGCAATACGTCTATAGCCGCCGAAGGCCAGAAAGAGCCTCCGTCCCGTCCTTACTGAGTGAAGACGAGTCTTCAACGGTGTACTTTTTGTCCAATCTGTGTCGCGCGCTGTCCTCCGGCGTCCCTCGCTATCTACCGGCTGTCTCAAGTAGCAGCCAGGCTCTTCAAATCGACCACTAAATTCGATTTCGTAGCCTACCGTGACACGATTTTCCGCAGCGTTGCCCACAGGTGGTGCTTTTTTTCTATAAAATTTGCAAAGAGCGAACTTACCTGAGGAAAAAGTAAAAAAAAAAGTATAACTCTTATGGAAACACGGCCAAGTCACTGGCCTTCAAACAATAGGGTACCCTATTCAAGACCGGTGGCTTCGCTGGGTTTCCATAGGAGTTAAGCCTTTGTCTTTGTTTACGTTTTCCTCAGGTAAGCTCGCTCTTTGCAAATTTTATAGAAAAAAATGCACCACCTGTGGGCAATTCTGCACAAAATCATAAAGCGATAGGTTAAGAAACCGAATTTTGCGGTCGATTTAAAGAGCCTCGCCCCTATTTGAGACACACGATATTAATGATTCCCATAGGCTGACAGTGCGATGGGAGCTACGCAGTCGCCTGACCAATCAGCCGCCTCTCTTTTATCACGTGACCCCGCTTTCTGCGCTTGGGGTGCACAGAGTTATTATATATGTATGCTAGAGGTTCACCTGACGCTAGTGTCTATGCGAGTATTTACTTGGGCCAGTTGATGGTACATTGTGACAATTAAAAGCGCCAAAAAAGACGTGGACCAGTAAAAGACAAACCAAGAGCGCACTTGCAACTGAAGTTTAATCCGAACTGATCAAACGGGAAAAAAACATATATGCCTTATCAACAAAACACCCATGTCATCTACGCACATCGTCCTGCTAATGTACATTTATTCTTACTAGCTTGGCCTATCAAAGGACTGTAAATATACCACTTCCGAATCGTTGGGGACAATCGATGGGGCGCTAACGCACATATCGTGACAGCACTTCTTTAACAAATATGCTTCTGAAATTTAACTTGTCATTTTGTTTCCGTTCCGGCTCGAAATAATTGTTTCCTGAAACTTTGGGACACAATCGCATCTATTGCAGTGCAGCGCAAGATTACCCTCGGACGACGATCTCATTGCCAGTGCGTGCTCTCTTAGTCGATCGTTTATGCAGCGTCCGGACTGTCCTATGTAAACCCTCCCACAAATTAAAGGTGCTTTGTATACCGACCCTTCCTTGCACTCCACAAATCTAGCCACATGCCCTATCTTACACACACCCACCCCTAGATCCCTCCACTCCACTCTTCCACACAGTTTACCCAATTGTTGATGCGCTGGGAGTAGTACCGGAATCCCATGTTTTTTTTCTCCCATCTTTCAATATATAAGATACAACGGCTAATCTAACATTATATCTAGACTTAACACCACTTTTTCTCCCTCCCCGAAGTTCTTGCAATAATCTTTCGCCACCCCTTTGATGAGCGTAACTGGATACCCACCGTCCCCTAATTTCTTCACTTGCCTTCCACAGTTGTCCGCTACAGTATGTCAACGAGATTTAGTTACCGATGATTTTAGGCACGTTCTAGCAACACCTCTCTTAATAATCTTGGAGTGGTTTGAGTCAAATGGTACCACAGCTTTTTTGTTTCTAGGGCAGTAAAACCAACAAACATGTGTGTCATAATCGAACCAGACGCCAGTCTTGTACACGTTACTAAAAAAAAGTAATCGATTACAATTACTATTACTCTTGGCTAAAATGTATTCGATTAGATTACTTGATTACTCGATAGCAAAAGTAATTGGACATTACTTTAGGAAGTAACTGTTACTTTTCCTATTACTTTATTGTCTGCACCTTCAGCGCTCATAACGATGAACTACTTCCAACCTATAGACGCTTTAAACACGCGCCAGATTGAGCCGCCATGGCCGACCTTCTCTTGTCTTACCGAAATGCCGAGCCACTGAAGCGGGCGTTGACGAGCCTCCCCAAAGGCCTATGCTGGGGAGAATGACACTCTAGCACCTAAAGTGGCAAGAACCTGTCGTGCTGTGGCAATGATGAAGTGAAGCGAACGGAATAAAAGGACACGAAAACTGAAGGTCGGTTATGGCGGCGCTCATGCACAGCTGCCTGAAAGCGTCTATATTTCACATTTTCACAAGTATCGGAGAAGAAAAAACGGGTTCCCTCTTCGTGGTCGTTGCACCTTCAAAATGCGGACACAAGCGTAGAATTCGTTTGAAGAAGTTTAATGATTTGGGCGTTTGCCAGTTGGGGCGGGGGGGGGGGGGGGAGTTTCTAGATTTTGCTAAGCTTAAGCAAGAGTTGTCGCTCAAAGTTTGCGTCGCTCACTTTTTTACGTTTTCTTGGAATTTCTGATTCCAAATAAAATGTATTTTGTTTTCTTGCTCTTTATGTTGTCTTGTACTGGCAACCAAGCGACAATTACTCTCTCTCGCACACACACGCGCTTCCCCTAAGTAAAGAACTTTGGCACTCCCAGCTGTAGCTTGTGCTTATTGAGCTTTAGGTTTGTTTTGCAAGCAATTTAGAGGACTTGTCTATTCTGCTTAAAATGTTCCTTTGAGATGCTGGCAACGATCAAAGATCATCAAAATAGAGATTCATGTCACCTCTATTCTCAAACTGTTCGTCCATTATGCTCTGAAGCTCCTCCGGTGCACAGTTGAGACCAAATGGCATAACCAAGAAACTATACTTGCCATTTGGCGTTGAAAGGTGCACAACTTTGAGCTTTCTTCATCCAACTGGAGTCGGTGAAACGCATGCGAGACGTCAAACAACTTCAAGACCGTTGCATTCTGTAGCTTGGCAGGGAGAGTCTCTTGCGTGTGGATCTGATAGCGCGAACGGATGATGCTCTCATTACACTCGTGAATATTAACATAGCCGTATAGGGAGTGTTCACTGGCGGCCATAGCTGTGTGCGCGAATGCTGAGCGCGTGCTGATGGCGAGCTTCCACAGCTCTTTTGCAACGTGCATTCCGCACCATCAAGAGTGCCGGTCTTAGCACCATATTGATGTGAGCTCGTTCTAAGCATGCGCTCTAAACAGCACCCACAAATATGGTGTCCAGTGAACACTCCCTATAGAGCCGCCTCGCTTCGTAACGACGACGATGGGACTGTCGTAACTTGTGGGCTTTGTCACTCTTACAATAACCTTTTCCTTTTTCATCCTCTTGAGTTCAGCTTTCACTTGCTCTTCTAATGCATTGGGTATTTTCCTGGGTGCTTAAGCACTAGGCTCGGCATCCTCACGCAGCACGATCTTGTGGAGTCCAGGGAGTCTGCTCGTACCTGTGAATGCATCTTGATACTCCTCGATGATGCGTTGTGCTGCTTCTGGCATGCTTCCTTTGCCTTGTGGCGTCACTGTGTGAATGTGAGACGTTGTACTGTTTGTACTGTTTGCACGCCTTCAGCCCCAGTATCGGGACTGCATCCAAGTCGGCAACAAAGAACTTTAGACTTCCAATCCGTCAATTAGCAGTGCATCACAGCTCACATTTTCTTATGACTGGTAGTTGTTCTCCTGAGTAGGTCGACAGCTTGGTTTTGGTCCGGTACACACTTGGTCGCGGCCCCAATTGACGCAGTTTACTCTTTGAGATGACGTTCCCTTGAGCTCCTGTGTCAAGCTTTGCAAATGTTTTGTGACGGTTCAGGTAGACTCTCTCTACCCACGCCTAGCTGTCGTCGGTTAGGATGTAGACGGAAAATGCATCCAGACAGACGTCATCGTTTTCTTCGAACAGTGCTTACCCTTGCTTACTATGCCCTCTTTGACTGGTGTGTGCATTCGTGAGATGGTTTCTTTTGTTGTAGTTAAAGTGTATTTTCACGTATGCCGAACGGTTCTGCGGACGATGACGAGAACTGCACCTTAGTCTCATGTCCGTCGCGTGTGCCTTCTCCGTTGCGTGGGCGATCTGCCGACTTCTTGAAATTTGCTCTTTTGGCGGTTCCTGGTCTCTCACTTCGCATGGCGGGAACCCCTTCTTCCTTCTGTTTCATGGCCTCTGAATGGGTCTTTGATACTTCGGCCGCCTTAGACCTGTCTATAACCGACTTTAAGGAAACGTCTCCCTCGCGCAGCAAACGTTCTCAAAGGTCGTTGTCGCGAATTCCTTGAATTAGCCGATCCTTTACAATGCGGTCGTGCGCTGTTCCGAACGAGCATTCTTGTTCCTTGAGCTTCACTTGTGCGACGAACTGGTCAAACGACTGACCTGCCTTTTGCTGTAAGCTGTTGAAGGCGTGCGATGCATGTGTGAGATTTCTTTATGGCCGAAAGTGTTCGTCGAACGCATCCAGGACATCTGCCAGTGTCCTTTCGTAGCCAGGTGCCAGTGGCGGTGACGTAAAAGTTTGGTAAATGGCGTTGGTTTCGGTGCCTCTGACGTGCAGGAACAGCAACGTGCTTGTCCCCTCTTCTTCGGTGTGATTCTTGCACGTACGCTCGAAGATCACAAACCTGCATCGCCACTGCGACCATGCCTCTGCCGGGTTGGACGTCGCCGAGAACGGAGGAATTTGTAGAAGGAATGCGGCCATGGTTTTGCTATTTCACTTCTGTCATCAGGTTATGTTCCTTCGACATAAATAAGGCCGGATTGAAATGGATTTCATGACGCGTCTTTTAATGGCAAACATTTCGGTTACATGAGGTTGGAATATATTAGACTTGGCCAACAGTGCCCATGTTTTAAGTGTGCCGAAGGTAAGTACGCAAATATAAAACAGCAATCACATAAGAAAGCTCTAAAAATACGCGAGGATAAAGGTCGCTTGAAAAGGGCAAGCAAAATATCACTAGTGGGACAACAACCAACCACCCTGTATCGTCCACGTGCTTCCGTATCTCACACGTAAAAGGGAATGCGCGTGCACGCTACATACGCACGACGTCACGGGCATCCGTCCCCGCAGGTACCCTCCGGGGCACGGTCCCTACGAGGCGTGTCCGTGCGGCTGCGTGCACAACACGGCTCTGCTGCCCGAGTGCTGCCACTGGGGGGACGCGCCCCGGAGCCGCTACTCGTGGAACGGCAGCGAGGCAGCGGGTCCTGCGGCGGGCGCCTGCACCTGCCGCCGGAGCCATCCAGCCTACTCTTCACGGCGCAAGGTCAAGTTCGCCCATAGGCCGGGCTCCAAGGAGGCCCTCAAGTGAGTGCGCTTCAACGTGCTTCCAAGTCGCTCTCTTTAAAGTCGCTGTCACTCCGCTATCATATGCTACAAAAGACAGTCTGAAGACACCATTTGAGGTGCGTTTCTTCCTTGTATGTGAACATTGGTCATACTGTCTGCAGACATGGGTATGAAACAAACATGCTTGGGCGTGTCGTCAGATGTCATCGTGTTTGCAGCGAACACCATGTATTTTGTATGTAGGACTGCGTCGCGATGCCTGTTCTTGGTGAAGTTTCGCTACGGATCCGTCTGCGTTTCGTGTACGTCGCGGGCAGCTAAATTTAAGGCTGCGGTCCCACGACCGCAACAATAATGCCGGTGCTGGCTGCAGTTCAGCTCATGTTTGCGGTACAATTGTCGTGTCTGTGCGGGAGGCGCGTCTGCGCGGGTTGGGTACCACCCTCTTGGACTCATGTGTTCAAGAAACCGGACTCCCTCAGGATGGCATCTTAAGTGTCACTTTGTTTATTGTTAAAATGAACTCTCTTGCCCTGCCCTAGTCTGTTTCATTTTTGCTGTTTGTTGACGACATCCAAATTTCAGCGTCCTCTTGTAATATGTCTGGGTGCGAGCGCCAGCTACAGCTAGCCATAAATAACCTTAACAAAAGGGCCTAGGAAAGCGGATTTAAGTTCTCGCCTGAGAAAATTGTCTGAGCCCCATTCTCTTTGAGTCGGGGCTCTCCTTGTACCTCTTACTTGCATTGTACAAAACCTGCATCCCTATCAGGAATGAACACAAATTACTGCATGTTACCTTTGATAAAAAGCTGAACCTTTTCCTCACTAAAGTCTCTAAAGACAAAATCTCTTAAAACTGCCAACCTTCTTAAAATGCTAGCATATAAGACATGGGGACCGGACAGAAAATGCCTCCTTGGGCAATACAGTGCTCTTATTCGATTTCGTGTGGACTATAGAGCTCCAGTATAAGTTTCCGCCAGACCGTCTGCGATTGGGATATTCGATCCCATCCCCCGCCTTGGCTTACGACTTGCAGCAGGAGCTTTTCGAACGCCTCCTATCCTCAGCCTGTATGCAGAATAAAACGAAACGTTGCTTGAGAGGACACGCCAGTACCTCAGTTTAACATACACTCACAACATGCTAGCCGACCGTACCCATACAAAGTACCGTTCAGTGCAGAAGTCCAGATCCTGTATTTTTGAAAACAAACTGAGCGTAGTGATACCACTGATCTTCCGTGTTAAGCATTTTCGTTCTTCTCTTCAACTGGGACTGGACGAAGTTAGCCTTATACAGAATGTATAGCAGGTTGCTTTCTGGGATGGGCAGCCAGTGGCTTGTGACTGGACATTCACAAAGTTTAATAAGCGTAGTGTGCCAACCCAAGTTATTCAACAAGAAGTTTATGAGGTCGAAAGGAACTATGAGGGTTATGCCCACTTTTATACCGATGGAGCCGAAACATTATTCGTGGGCTGCGTCGTTTACTCCGATGGCTTTGTTAATGTGAAACGTCTTCTAGCCCTTGCCAGCATCTTTACAGCTGAACTTTATGCTATTTCCGTGGCTATAGACTATATCTTGAAGAAAAGTAGAAATAAGGCAATTTTATTTCTTGTGTGTCTAAATGCTATCTGTGGAATAACCACTTTGGAAGCTTCTAGAAATCCGCCTGTACAACACCTAGAGTGTAAGCTTAACAGCGCTTCTTGGGGGCGGGGCTATATTATAAGATTTTGTTGGGTGCCGAGTAACAAGGGAATAAGGGGCGACGAGGAGTCTGACAGGCTTGCTACATCCTCGAGGGACCTTCCTCAATCTCACGCAGGCTTCCCCTACCAGGACATCGAGCCTTTAATTAAATCGTCACTCTTTGGGTCATGGCAGGCAGAATGGCATGTGGAGTGCAATAATAAGCTCCACGTGCCCAAGCCGGTCCTCGGATCCTGGGAGAGCTTTTGTTTGAGAACAGATTTCATGAAGTTGTTGATGTGTCGGCTTCAAATTGGCCACTCTTTTTTGTCACACACAAGTATTTTCGGTGCGGGGGCGATTCACCTGTGTGAATATCTGTGAGGACCAGTGGCGTACCAACTTGTTTTCGAGTGGGAGGCAAACCAGACCCCCCCCCCCAGGGCCGGGGGGCGCTGCCCTTGGTATCCCTTGGGCGCCGCCGGCAGTGTCTGCCCTGCCCAGTGGCGGCTGTTTCGGAAAGGGGGGGGGGGGGAGGGGGGGGGGGTGCGGCAGGGCAAAACACATACCCTGCCCCCTCCCCTCCCACTCTGAGAACTGGGGGGGGGGGGGGGGGGGCAAGCGCCCTCCTTGCCCCCCCCCCCCCCCCCGGTCGGTACGGCCATGGTGTGGACGCACATTCTTCATAATTTGTGGCTCTGTTCAGAAGTCAAATCAGAACGTTATAATCATTTTCCGAAATTTGTTCGGTGCCACATCCCATTTCACCAGTTCTCTTCCTGGGAAACCATCCTCTTGTCCCCTTTGAAAGACTTGTGGTTTTATTACTAGTATTGGCCCGATACACCAGATTTAGTTTTACCTGTTTCTAAAGTTGCTGTTTTGTAGCACTGCGACCATTGTAGCTTGACTGTCTTCAGCTTGGCATAATATGGCCTCCGTTGCTTTTGTGCCATAAAGCCCACAAACAGCAACAACAGCCGTCGTTCATTCGCTGTGATGTCTCTGTCGCAATATTTCACCATGCAAGATAAGTTTCTCCTCGCAAACGAACTGTCTCATTTGGGACAAAAGTAATTCCAAAGTAATGAGTAATTGTTTCAGAATTATAAAGTAATTCCTAGAATTACTGCCTTTTCTAGGCTAATTCCTAGTCTAGAAAATTAGTTATTTACGTTACTCGTTACCAGAAAAAATAATTTAATTACTCTAGTTTCATTACAGTAATGTCATTACTGTGTTCTCTGAACTGTATATGCTCCGCTTGCGGAGCAGATTATCGTAATGGTGCTCCCAGGGCGGCCATGTTGGATCCAAGGCCGCACTGTGGGAAGCGACGTGGTCGCTTCTGCAGGAGAAGGCGTTGCTGTGCTGCTGCGTGCTGCGGCGTGCGAAGCAGAGAAGATATAGTGCGGCGACACACCACGCGTGCGCTTTCGTCCTCTCATTTGTTTCCTATTCTTCTCTATGCCCTCTGTAGAACGTAACACCCGACGGAAACGTCATCCCTTTGCAAGCCGTAGCTGCGCGTTGTTGTCTGGTCCGAAGTGCCCGGATGTGCCGGTCGCGTATCACTCCGCGAGTGCCGCAAACGCGAGCAACGCGATCGTTCTCCGTGTTGTCCGCTTCCCTGACATCGGAAAGATGGTTCAAAATATCGCTCGCGTTATAAAACAACGCGATTCTACTGTACACAGTGGCCACACATCATGTTCAATGGTCAAGGAACCATCCAGTTTGATCGATTTTAATGTAGGATATATATTTTGCAAACGGAAAGCGAGAAACATGCTCCGCCCGAAACTCGGCGCCTGCAAGGTCGCTTTCCCTCGTAAAGGTTGGATCCAGCTCGGCGCACGTGAACGCGTCTCCGCCAATACAGAGTTGGCGCTCCAAGAAAAGGAACGCGATACTCTGGCTCTGTAAGATTACTGCCCGTTTCGATCCGGATCAGCATCGTACCGGCGTGTGGTGTATCACTACTGCGTGGTGGACGTTAAACACTTTAGGCTAGCGGTTGTACTGCACCGGCTAAAATGCTCATCTACAGTTGAGAGACAAGTCACTCGTTCAAGGCAGACTAACTTCAAGGCTGCATAAACATACCCACAACCAAATTCTGCGAGATTAGAGGAACTCTGTGCGAGATCAGAGCCGTATATGTAGAAAGTTTGGTCATTAATTGGTAAGAATAGGGCGAGTATAAGGGCACGGCATTGGCCGAAATTGTTTCAATGACATCCTTTAATGTGCACCACGGAGTAGTGATACACGACCACACGCCCGTACGATGCTCATCCAGATCCAAGCAGGCAGGGGTGGGGATTGAACTTAGGGTCCCTGGGTTCTGCACCGCGAGCTTTCGCTCCACGTGCTCCGAGCTGGTGTCCAGCGTCTCATTTTGTTCCCTGACACTGGTTGACAGGTCCGACCTCAACGAGGATGAGGAAGACGAGCCCGACAAGGGAGACCGGAGTCCCACCGGCAGCAAGTGCGACCAAGACAGCCTGGCGGATGCGCCCAGCAAGGACCCCCTACCAAACGGACACGTCCTGGTGAGGAAATCAGCTTCGTTAACCCTAACGCCAACAAAAAGACAATAGCTGAGTTTGTTGATGTAGAGCGCGTGCTCGCAGCGATGCATCCCCAAAGTGTCATCATCAAGATTCTCCTTCTTGGCATACGAATGAGATAAGCTCATTGTGAGCATGTGTTTTGAGTAACGCACTCATATGTGGCTTCCAGTGATCTTAAGTTTTATGTCCTGCATAGCGGTAGAAATGGGCTCGCGAGCCCATTTCTACTGCTATGCAGGCCATACCATTTCTACCGCGAGCCAGTGGCTTCGGACACGGCCGCACTGCATGCACTCTCACTTCTTAGCGGCCTCTCCTTTGATTCATAAAATTTACCCATTGGTTCCGGTGCAGCACTGCAGCTCAGTAGGTTGGAAGAGTCACTGGAAGGCAGGTGGCCTGATTGGCCTGATTCTGGCCTGATTGGCCAAAAGCCGACATCACGACATCACGGCAAAACCAAACACAGCTCTTGCGTTTTCAAATATGCGACTTTCCTTTAATGTATAATAATGTAGGTGTTGCCTACCGATACGGGTGAAATGCTGGGGCACAATTACTCTCGAAGTGCCGGAGTTTATGTGCAGTTAAACGCGAGTCGACAATGGCACATGGAAGAAGTATAGTGGGCCGGTCATCCCGTTCCAACGGCTCCTCGCATTCTTAGGCTTTTTAAATTATCCGCGAGCCGGGAGGGACATGCTGCACTCTGCACTAGCAGGCCGCCAGACACTGAACGCGGCAGACTGCACTCTGACTTTTCTACAAGCCTAGGCAGGCCCTTATGGCTGCTGGAGGTCCGTGTTTCAAAGGGGGCTCACACGAAGAGGAATGGGTGCGACGAAAGCGAGCGCTGAGTTTATTTTCACGCTGTCCGGCCGAGATGCCCTACTTCGTCAACGGGGCGATCGAACCCATGCCACTCCTCTTCCTGGCCAACCAGGTTTCATAATACAACGCGAGCAGTGTTGCGTACAGGGATTTTCTGAATAGTCTAGACTTCCAGGTTCCACAACTATGTCCGGTGACGAGTTAAAAGCCCAGCCCTTACAAAAAGGCGATCTATTGAAATCCACATTCCATGGGCGTACCAACCGGGGGGGCAAGGGGGGCACTTGCCCCCCCAGTTTTCAGAGCGGGGGGGCAAGGCATGTGTTTTGCCCCCCCTGAAACAGCCGCCACTGGGCAGGGCAAACACTGGCCGGCGGCGCCCGAGGACTGGCAGGCGATAGAAACCCGAGGATTGGCAGGCGAAACACTGGCAGGCGATACAAACCCTAGCAACGGCGCTCACGCCGGATTGGCAGGTTTGTGGAGATAGGCGCTGCCGCCGTCAACATATGCAGTGGTTACAATGCGAGTTTCCGAAGCGGTAGCGTAACTTAGTTGTAAGATGTCTACCTCATACGTAGCAGACCACGGTTCTATCTACGCTTTAAACTTCTATTTTTTTTGTTTTTTTTTGTTTTCGTCGAACATTTTGTATTGTGGAGGCATTTGGCGATATTTACATTTTTTTTTTTTACAATTAGCGCTGAAAGAAAAACGAACGTTGTGGACGCGCTGAACTAAATATTATGGGACTCTCTTTACGGATGTGGATGGGGGATAGTGGGGCTTGGGTTGCCGGCTGCAAAGCGGCGTGTGCGGGGGTATAAGGGGGGAGGGGGTTAACGCTCGTTGAGTGATATACGCGCCGTCCGAATTCGATATTTAAGTTTCCGCACGTTGCCGAACGGCCAATCCGGCGTGAGCGTCGGTGCTAGAGGGCCTATCACCTGCGCCGTAAAAGTTGGTGATGGACCGAATCTGCCGAGCTTCAGATGCGGCAAATTTCCGCACATGCCGAAATTTAGAAGGTAAGTTCGACAAAGATTCGATAAAAATTCGGCAAATGTCTGCGCACGCGCACGAACGCGACGGGGCCATGGATCGCAAATGGACGCCGCGCAGTTGCGCGGTTACCATCGCTTTAGTACAACCAGCGGTTACGGCGAGGTCTGGAGTAGGCGGCACGGTAACTGGGCGTTCGTGAGCTTTTGCGAGTGTGGTTGTCTTCAATATTTTCTGCCTCAAAAACAGAAGTCGACGAGTAATTTACGCGGCTCGCTGCGAAAGTGACAGGCGGTGCATTCTGGATAACGTGATTTTCATTTGATCTTTCCATTCATGAAACGAGGTAGTTGAAGCATTGACTGACAACTGGACAATTACGCTCAGTGCCCGCAGCCCACTGCCGTCAAACGGGAGAGTCACGAAGCTTGCCAGAATTAGGGCTGGGAAGTCGATCCAGTAACCTATCGATTAATCTACTAATGATTTAATCGTGATTAATATTTAACCGGTTAATCGGTAAAATTTTGACGAAACTAAAACGGTTGAAAGTCAGCGCTATCACCACGCAGAGAGGACGAGTACATCTGTATGAAGAGCCAACTTTAGGCTAAATTTTAGCCTAAAGTAAGCTGTAGGGGCGAGATTAGTAACCTCAGACAATTGGATTAGCTTACACGTGTCCCGTCTAGTTCAACGCCGTTTGAGTGTCTGTTTAGCGCAGCGGAGGCAATTGTGAACAATCAAGGAAGGTCGCTCTTGCCGGAGAATATCAACGAACCTCTTTTCCTCGTGCAGATAAAGTAATGACCTGTGAGCGTGAGTGTCTTTGAACTGTTCCGAATTACACATGGAGGCCGATTCGAAATCCAGATGGTATATTCCGCCGTTTGTCACAAATTCAACAAAATCAAAAACCAATTTTCTTTTTTTTTTATACTTTGTATGAGAATGAACGAGGCCGATTAGTTGATTAATTAATCCATTGAAAGGTCGCGATTAATCGGGTTAAACGTTTTAATCGACGCCCAGCCCTAGCCAGAATGTATGGGATGCAGCTGGCATCCTCGTCATAATGGGATACATGTTTTTCCCCTTCTTTTTTCTTTTTACGCACTTTCTGTAATGCGTATATTCTGTACATTTATTTGTCTGTTTGTTTTTTCACATGTGGTGGCGGACTGGCAGGCGCTCTGAGTAAGGGTTTTCAGCTATCTGCCTAGCCCCGCACACCACCACATGGGCCCCTCCCAATATGTGCAAATAAAATTATTATTTTTATTATAAAAATCCTATTTTCGGCTTACAAGTAGTTTGTGCCAAAACAGAATAATATTGCGTTTTAGTTCGCATTATTTCGCGATTTTCATGTATCTGCATAAAACTAAACACAGTACTTTCATGCTCGACGTTGGATATCCGATTTTCCTAACTCTCCCCATCTTCTTGAACGTCCGTGTGTGTCCTAACACCAGAAACCGGAATTTGAAAGGCTAAAAACGGCACGTTGCGAATATGGAACGCGCACTTTCTTGCCAAACTGACGTCAAGTGGCTCAGATCGAAAAACATGCATATTTACAATATTGCTATCTCTTCAGGTGAAGGCTCAGCAACCGTTGCAATCGTATTCGCGCACGAAACGGCGACTTACAGATAAAGTAAGAACGTAGTGATTGCTTTTATTTTAAAAATGTAAACACACATCCAGGCCTGCGCTGATGAAGTCTTAAAATCAAAACTCTCGTAGCGTGATTCATGACTGCGGCGGCTGCTACCCAACCTCGTTGTCACGCCACTTTCTGGAAGCAGACACTAAAATTGCAAAAGTAAACACACAAAAGCGACACCGATACAATTATCTTGCAGAATATCACCTTATTTAGTAATAACTGTGTCAATAGGCACTACTAGTTGCTTTTAAGTTAAGAAGAAAAAACAAACAAAAAAACGTAAACCTTTTACCAAATCTTTGTCGAATATTTGCCAAATCTATAAAAAAGTTCGGCAAAAGTTCGGCTCCGCCGAATCGGCGCCGAACTTTCGATTCGGCAAAAGTTCGGCCCATCACTAGTAAAAGAGTAGAAATTTGCGACCGGAGGGGGGGGGGGGGGGGGGGGGGGGAGGGAGGGAGGGGAGGGGAGGGGAGGGGAGGGGAGGGGGAGGGGGGGTTGTCTTGCCCCCCCCACTCAAAAACAAGTTGGTACGCCACTGCCACATTCTAATGACTCTTTCAACGTCCTCTTTATCTCGTCGTATCAACAGTTTTTCAATATGTTTTCCATAGACATTCTTCTAGCCGAAGTTTATAGAATGCAGAAGTTGGAAATGCTATGGAATTTCGGTCACCACATGTCAGTGTGCCGAAAACCCATGCAGCATGCTCGCGATGGCACCTTTGGCAGGCGTTTAGTCGTTCGGTGCTCGTGAAGTAAGCACGAGCGATTGCAAGCCTGCCAAAGATACCCTTGCGTGCATGATGCTCGTGTTTGAGCATAGCCTCCTTTATTATACAAACCCTGACAAATCGCGAAAGACTCTGGTTTGAGGCTTGTCGCTGTCGTTTGTTTCTGTCTGTCGCTCTAGTGGGACACGGGCATTAGCTTGACAAAAAACCCGAGGCTGCGGATAGAAACGATACATGCACCAAAAGGTCTCAATTTGATGCATTTTATGCTATGTCGGGGTTTTTGCCATGCTTCAAACAGCACCTCGATTGTCGTCAGCCGGTGATAAAAAAAAAATACAGTTGGAAATTGTGGTCGTACCAATCAGCACATTTTTGCCGAAGTTGCGAAATTAGAGCAAGAAGCGAGTCATTCGGTTCTTTCTCTCTGGTGGATTTTAAATGCTCACACCTTAAAAGTATTTTCGCTGTATTTTTTGTCGCTCGTCGGTTATTCAGAACCGCATAAGCTAATTGTAGTACATTAGAATCTGCCTGATGGATGGATCAGTCACCCTCGATCACACGCTGTATGTTGATTATCGCACTATCTGTCACTTGATTCGTCAATTGTCACATTAGAGGCCAGTAGTTATCCGTAACAATAGGAAGAACCGTGTTTGTCGGGGATCAAGACCGTTTATGTGTGACCAGGCCACTAGACAGCTGATTCCCTCTGGTCTGCTGGGCAGCCCTAACCAGATATATTTATTCTCTTTTTTTGTATTTCTTTTTCTCTATCAGGCCGAGAACGGCCTCTTGGAGAAGCAGCAGGCCAACGGCGTCCCTTACGCCTGGGAGGAGTGGCAGCAGTACATGCGGCAGAAGACTCTTCGGTCCCGCCGCAAGAGGGCCCTGTGCATGGGGGTCATCGCACTGTCCATCATACTCTTCGTGGGCGTCACCGTGTCCGTGGGACTCGCCTACCTCCGAAAGAAGTTCTGACGCCCGTCTTCCTTCGTCTCCGCCCGTGAGGACCGTGGTAGACACTCCCGAACGGATGCGGCCTGTCAGAAGAACTGCGGGTGTACGGTACGCAGGTCTCCCAGCTCTCTGTGTCCAACCTAAACTAGAATGAGACTGGCTCGTGTTTCTGTTGGATTCCACAAGGAACGTCTGGGTTATCTCAGTCTGCGAATTTCCGAAGTGGCAGCGTCTATTGTTAGTTCCATGCGCAAGGTGTTGACGTTTTGGAACGATGGCAGCGGGTGAGAAACTGCCCAAATAAGTGATTGGCTGCTTCCTTTGCAGTCATAACGCGGCTCGTCATATAGGAAATACAAAAAAAAAACGCAGATTAGCCGCCATCTTTGAGGCTTGGAAACGAAGATAGCGTCGGGTTTCTTGACCAATATTTCCCATGTACCAAGTTCACAGTGCTAGACATAAAGATTTAATATTCTCAGTTTACTGACTCCTCTATAGCGTACTATCCGCAAATCTTCTATGGGAGAAGATTGTACTGTTAAGGAATGTTTGAAAGGTACTGAGTCATTGGACAATATTTGTGGACATCGGGCTACAAAATAGTTTTGCCTGCCCCGGACTGCCGTAGCAGAGAGTCTTGGTGAACTTGATGTAAGGGAATCTATTATGTGAGGAACAGTCTTCTAGCAATGACCATCACAATGGCTCACGGCACAACGCGAGGCGAGAAGCATCTGCCTTGTTCGTTGTTGTTTTCGAGAAAACAAGAGATACAACAAACGACATGGGAAGTCCACTAGCTTCGCTCCTGCAAGAAGAAAACCTGAGCTGGTCAACGTGGGGTAATTTTTAATCGAACAATTCCAAGATCACTGTTCACTCAGTATGATGTTAAAGGTATATCACCTGTGGCACTACCCGGATATGCTCTTGCTCCCATCGTGAGAAGACTTTGAACTGATTCTTTCAAGATTACAGCGTAAACGGGAGTTATGTGAAACATTTCCCCGAGCTTTTCTTTTGCAGAAAAACGCGCCTATGATTTTGTTTTAAGCTTTTTCTTTATTTAACTTTTTTGGGTGAGTAACCGCAGTCGTCTTATTTAACAGGACATATGAAATGATACCTCCGGCCTTGCTAAAAGCACGCGCATGAGTATCGTGTGTGTGTATGTGTGTATGTATCTTTGCGTTTTGTTTGATGGCCTCCTGGAGCAGTATGCGCAAATCTTCGTCAAGCTCTAGATGTACGATTCCGTGTCCGGACGGCAGCCAATCAACACTTTGCGTGGTAGTCGCTGCGGGACCAACTCGGTTGTGACGGCGTAGTTAATTGTTTTTGTATTTTGTTTCTTTTCTGGAGCATAGACTCGCGTTATTTTCTGCACACCATGTGTGCATGTGCGAATGTGCTGAATGACTGTGCGTTTCTGAGAATCGTGTGATGAAATGTGCGTTGGAATGTTTCCAGAACTTGTTTTCAATGTAACGGGTTACTTGAAAGGGCGGAGCAAAAAGGTCGACCAAACGACGGCATTTTGATTGAATTTCGTTCAATTTTTTTTTCTCTAAATACTCACCCGAGAACTATGTGTCTATTAAGAATGGATACTCGGACTCGGCAGCCCAGTTTTGTTTTTTCTTTGTGTTGCCAAAATGCTCGAGTAAGCTCATCACTATAAAAAAACTCAAGTAGTTGGCAGTTGGAAAATGGTCGACGCTTTTGATTGACACAAATTGTTTGGCAATAAAAATGTAATCTAGCACAAAGTTTGTTTCTCGGAAATAAATTTGCTGTGTTTCTTCTTTTTGTCTTGCGTGCGCCAATGTGAAGATCCGCGTGGTTGTTTTTGGGCACATTAAATAAACAAATTATTAGTATTATTATTATTATAAATAATGGGGAGCAGCTGATATATACTCATTTGTATTTTTTGAAAGGCCATTTAATTAGATGGCTCTTTATGTAATTAGGTTTACTTCACACGAAGTAAAATTGGAAGTAGGTTTAATTTTGATTTACACCACCGTTTCTTGACCAAGGTCCCACGTTTAGCAAGCAGTTCATGATGCTTTGACTGAGAAATTCACTATAGTCCGTAGCAACTCAAGAAGATTAGGGCGAGGGTAAGACGTGCCGGGAAGGAGGAAACAGACGGAACGCTGGAAAAGGGAGGGGGAAACCTTCTCTCTTTAGCGTTCCGTCTGCTTCCTCCTCCCCGGCCCGTCTGCCCTCGCCCTACCTTCTTGAGTTTTCAGGGCGGTCCAAACCAGCCCGCATTTCGTCTCTAAACTCCGGAAGACGAATATTCTTTGACTTCTGGAGCTCGTTGCGGGTAAAAAGTATACGGGCTCGCTTGGACGACGCATTGGTGAACGGGCGGCCGGGGCGGCCGATGAATTGACGTCACTGCGGTTCGCCAGGGGGTCGATCAAAAGGTGTGTGGCCTGATAAACAACCGCCAGTGAAAATCAACGGAGGGTTTTGGGGTTCGTTTGTTGCACTGGCCCCAGCAGGGAGATGGAAAAAAGCGCCGCTGCAGCGTTGTGAACGGGAAAGGAAGAAACTTAATAAACACTTACGCATTCCGTAAGGTGAAACACAACGGCAGCTGAAGTGTGACGTCGGAGCCCCTAAGATGTAAACTGAATTAATGTCGAGAGTTGGGCTAGTTGGTATTCGTTGATCATAATGTAAAAACAGCGCAAACAAACACGGACGAAGGAGAAGAAACACGCAGACGGGACAAGCGCTGACTCGTAACTGAAACTTTACTACTTGAAAAAGGAAAAAGAAGAAAATAAGATAACAGCACACCCACCAGGAAGACCCCAAATCAGCACTCTCACTCAGACATGTACGTGTCAGCCCCTTCCCCTATCAGCACCATCACATCACCGCATGGCCAACTTTCACCCTCGCGCACATAAATTCAAATTCTTTTTTGTGCAAGCGTTATTGAGGCCTCACTCACACACCGATCCCCCAGAGTGACAATAGACAGTTTTAGTGGACCGTACGCTATAGCTTTGCGCACGCAAGGAGATTGCGGGTCGTGAGTGTGCGTGCGCAGAACGCAATAGAAGGGCTAGCGTATTCGTACGCACGCAACGCTGGGGATTTTGCGTTGCTGGCTAGCGGGCCTTGCGGGATTCTCTCGAGAGATCTCGGACCCAACGAGAGCGCCAGTTTCAAGATGGCGGTTGCCTCGACTGGCGCAGCAAGGGCGACGTGGTGTTTTCGAAGTTGTGTTACATGAAATTGCGTGGTGTTCAGCTCGGCGATTCCTTCTGGGACCTACCGCGGTCGAATCAGATCGCTCTGTAGCTGAAGGAGTGCACAGTGGAAATGTTCGGCGCTCGGAATGTGCGTCGACGCTGCGATCTGCTCAACGCTAAGCCTATTCCCACAGTTCATCACCGACGGACGAACGACTCTAAAAGAATTTGCCGAAGTTCTCGCAATACACTGGACATCAGGGTTATGAATTTCATTCCGCGATAGCATTGATAAAAGGTACCGTTTCCACGGGACGACTGACGGAGGCTCCGTGATCGAATTTGGCTACGCACTCGTACTCGTAGCCTCTGTACCCCGCAGAAAAGCGCGCTTGACGAGGCAGCTGTGGCTTGGTTTAATCTTAAATAAAATGACTGGACACTTTTTCTTTTTCAATATTTCTTTCCACAGGCGCATGGTTGCGCTATAAACACGCGGAATTCTACGGCTCTAGCAAATTTAACCAAGATCGTGCGCGGTGTTCACTCGAAAACGTAACGCACAACTAAATTCGGTCCGAGCAGGTCATTTTTAGCGTACGCTATACTATTGCGTATTGCGTACGTAAGATCCAGCAACGCTATACTAAAACTGTCTAATGTGAAAGGTTTCTTCTCCTTCGTCCGTGTTTGCGCTGTTTTTAAATTATGACCTAAGATGTCATTTCGGAGCAGATGGACTGAAGCAACGGTAAAGGTGCGAACTAGAGTCACTAAATAAAGCTACGCTTTCAGAGTACCGAAACTCCCAAACTACGCGTTCTGAAGCGCGTCAGGCGCCGCCATCTTGGGTCCACGCGCAGATGAAGGAGTGACTGTAGCCGAGCCAAGCCGAGCTGTAGCCGTCGCCTGCGCCAGCTGCCGCAGCTGTGGCAGCGAATCGAGGTCGTCGTGTTCGTACCTCGACGTAACACGGAAAACGCGCGTGCTGAGCGACGGACTTCAGCGCGCGCGCGCAGTAAACAGCAGACAGCAGCAGGCAGAGGATCGCTGGACCCAAGATGGTGGCATTGAAAAAACGCGATGATAATGATTGCGACTCATGTGACAGCCGCTATTCAATGATGCCGCAGCGAACCAGAATATTGTTGAATAGAGCGACTGTATTGTCGACAAAATGCCAAAGAAAAGGAATGCGGTACTCTGAAAGTGTAGCTTATTTAGTGACTCTAGTGCGAACGCGAACCAGTGTCCGCATAGACATTTCGTATTAAACCGAGTAACAATTAAATTAGACGAAAATTTCGTTTTGAAACCATTGAGGGTGTATTAAAAGAGAATTTTGTTAACCTGTTAAACTATCTTATTGGACACAAACTAGGACCGTGCCTTGTGGTAAATGAAGATCACTTCGAAAATCGCGCGCCAAAGTTTGAAATACAGGAAACGACGAAACTGCATGTGTATGCATGAGGTTAGTCATTCGAAGCGCTAAACTAAGGATTACGATTTGGTACGAGCCTATTGTTCAGTGTGAGAACAATGTGGAAAAGCGCCAATGATGTGTTTGCATCTAAATGTGTTGTTTGAATTAAATAAAATTAACAATCTCCTTCTAGAGACTATATAATTCAACCACTTTTACTGTAGTTGTCGACACAGGAATGTCGTCGGTGTAATATGAAACCCACACTTGTTTCATATTTTTCTGTTAAATGCATCGAGGGCGAGGTAATTTTGAACAAGTTTGTTTTAAACAGACATATTCTATCGCACTGAGTTTGGGTGGTTGACTCACCCTATAATCAAGCAGAAGATACTGGTGATAGAGCTTTCTAATTATTGTTACCTCACAGTAAGTATGCTATACACCTAGGAATTAAAAAA